ATTATGAGGGGCGACGGCAGAGCTCGAGGGCGGTGGTTTAGGTGGCACCGTCCTTGGGAGGGGTGGATCCGCCGTCCTCGGTCTCAGGAGGGGCGATGCCGACGGTGAACTCGAGGGAGGAAGCTAGGGTTTCGACCAAATTTGTTTTATTTTTATTTTTATTTTTTTCTTGAAATTATTTTTGCATATGGTTGGCATAGGGGACTGCACCAGCCACATGAAAAAATGTGGACTTTCGCACACACCTGAGTGTAGGCGGGCCACCTAATCGCTTGCGAAAATCGATTTCGATCGCATGCAAAAATCGATTTTGTAGTAGTGTTTTAGTTTACCAATTTTGAATATATTCCAAAATTCGAAATTGATACTGATTAGCAAATTGCAAGTGACGTGGACTGTGCTTTAAATCTAAATATCTAATCCCCTATAATTTAGAAATAAATTTAGAATTAATAAATATGGAAATGTAGCTATCTTGGATTTATTTTATCAACTTAATTCTAAATTCGAACTTAACAGGTAGTAAGTTATAATTGACGTGGAGTCTTCTGTTTAGTCGCTATAATTTCAAATATATACCCTACAATTTTTTTTAGACAGAGAAGTCGAAGCCTCCATCATTTCACAACGAAAAACAACAGAAAGCCGTCATGTTATTTAGAGTAAAAAAAAGATAGTACTTCCTCCGTCCCAAATTATAGGACGTCTCCTTTGTAAGAAAAATTAAATTCGATAGCTTTTGACTAATAATCATAATAACTATATTTATACTAAGTATTACTTATGTATGTTATTATATTACTAGATTTATATTTTAAAATACTTTCATGTGATGCTAATTTCATATTTATTGGGATTATAGAATAAAATAAAATACTGGTCTAAATATATTATTGAAAATTATGTGAGAAAATATATATCTTTTAATTTGGGATAGACGTAGTATATCTGTAATAACAGCACGCGTAACGTTCGGGTTGGCAACTGGAGTATAGCTAATATGTGATCGTCGAGCCGTGTCATGTCAACTGTCTCAGGTTAGTGATAAAATATTTTTCTCCGCGAATTCCTTCTGCCGCTGGCTTGGCTAGCCCTGTAGCTACGCGTCCACCTGAGACTGGCACCTCAGGTTAGTGATTAACCAACTGTACACGTAGCTATCTGCGCGAATGTTAGTCTGCATAATCATGTGGTTAAAACTGGAACCACTAGTACTACTGTAGTAAACCCTGTGCCCATCGGGGTGCAAATGTCATATACGTGGGTACTTATGGACCAAATGATAGTGGCACATCGTGTCATCATTCATATCACGCTCTCAAAGATCTCTAAGGGTGTATGTGAGGGAGAGAGGATTGGGAAGATACGTAAAATGAGGTAAGTCATTAGCTCATGATTAATTGAGTATTAACTATTTTAAACTTTAAAAATGGATTAACATGATTTTTTTAAAGCAACTTTTGTATAGAAAATTTTTACAAAAAAACGTACCGTTTAATAGTTTGAAAAATGTTCGTGCGGAAAACGAGTGACAATCTCCCCTATCTCCAATATCTCCAATGAACGAACGCAGCCTAAAATAAGTTGCGGTCGCCGCCCTTTTCAATGCCCTTCTGATCGATCTTCCAGCGAAATGCGGTGAGGTTGATTTCACTGGTTGCATACTAGTACGACAAATTAAATTAAAGCTCGCGCCCCCCACTACTGCTATGCAGTATACAGCGACGACGAATTTAATCAAATCTGTCAAAGCGAGCAGACCTAACCGGTTTCATGATATTTGTTCACACCTAACTTCGCGTGGAGTGCATGCGCACGCGCCGGCGAAGTGGCGAATCCATTTCAGGTCCAGTCCTGCGCTCAGGAGGGGCTTCTGAGTTCTGATGAAGTCTAGGGCTTTTTGGCAGGATGCAAATCCTCCAGTGTTCTGTACCTGTAGTAGTGTCACTGATGTGGGTCCCACCTGCTCCGGGCCCATATGACAGTGACACATACTGCAATATACAGTACTCATTTGGATCCCCTGCTCATTTGGCATCGGTTTTCAGCTCAAATAAAGCGCTGGGTGTTTATTCAGCTTAGCCAAAGTACTGATCAGCTCTAATGCTAATGGGTAAGCGTTTAATTGGACTCGGATGGGGACGACATCGACAACGGAACGGTACGAAGACGATGTTATTGTCCTTAAGCGAAGCCGCGATGATACCATCACCATAGGCACAGTACGAACACTACGGAGTACTTCCTCCGTTTTACAATGTAAAACATTCTAATATTTTTCATATTCATAATGATGTTAATGAATCTAGATAGATATATATATGTTTAGATTTATTAACATCAATATGAATGTGAAAAATACTAGAATAATATAATAACTTACATTCTAAAACGGAGGGAGTATTAATTTTGAAGCAGATCTCAGTCGTCCAAAAGCTTCTCCACACAACGCGCGAAGCCACCGTTTCCCCCGAAAAACATTGAAGAAATCAAACGGTTGGTAAAAAAAACATGTGAATATATTGCATTATACTCGATTCACATACTAAAAGCCAGGATTATTTGACCGCTCCTTCCGGCCTCATCGCACGAGAGCGCAACTAATCCCTTGAGGAAACCAGGAAAACCCTAAATGATTGGTTAATACTCCCTCCGTTCTGTAATATAAGAGATTTTAACATTTTGTTTGCATTGTTTGATCGTTCATCTTATTAAAATAATTTAGAATTATTATTTATTTTTTTACTTACTTTATTATCCAAAGTACTTTAAGCACAATTTTTTGTTTTTTTATATTTGCACAAATTTTGTGAATAAGACAGGTGGTCAAACAATGCAAGTAAAATATTAAAATCTCTTATATTACAGGATAGAGGGAGTAGAAAATTACTGGTAGGATTCATTGCTTTATGTTCGATCCACACTCTCAGCTAGCTCGTCTACAATATGAGCCCATTGCAATGCACCAGCATATTCCTAGTAATTGAGAAAATTTAAGTACTATTAACCATCAAGATTTGTTCACATACATCGTACCGCCATGTTGAATTATAGACATCTTTTTTTTTTTTGAAGTCGACTTTATAGACATCTTACGGGAGGGTTAGGTTACCCATCGAGAGAAGGATGGTGAAGTGAAATTGGCAGATCTGGACCTGAACAAACAGTAAAATGAGTTTGTTATTATTTGATATACGAAACAATACTAGACAATTTAGCTGTAATATCTACTTCATATGTCTTAAGATATAAACATGTGAAGTTGGGTGAGTAAGGACTAAATGAATTTCATTATTAAAAAATACGGGATATATAGTTGCGATTGGTTGAGATGAGTAGCATATGGTTAATTATATTTTGGATAAAATTTAGACGTTGAAAAAAATAACTATATTTTGGAAAAGAGGAGAGAACTAGTAGTTTGCTACGTGCCTCAAGAACATTGAGTAATTTATTGTAGCGCTTTCGTCCGGACGGCCGGTCCATGTCAAATTAAATGGTAAACTCTCTGCGCGTACAATTCCGTACGTTCAGCCCTGCCGTAACTAGTACTAGCAACGGAAGAGGGTCCAATCCTTAGAAAGGGAGTCACTAGAGGAGCCGGCATGTTATATTGTAGAAGTTTCCACGAAGTGGATTATACGTGCGGATTATATTGCTGAGGGTTTTCCATCATCAAAAAAATTATTACGGAGGTTTCGAAAAGGGGATTTTGATGGAAATCATAGCAGATTATATTGCAGAGGTTAATTTTCACGAGGATCCAATATTCTCTATATTCATTTTGGACAATAAGAGGAAAAATAATGATGGCTGATATATCTGTAGAAAGAAAACAATAGGAGGGCGAATATTCCATATAAGTGTGGGGCAATGTGTATTTTTACCCTTTTTGTATTTTAGACTACCCACTCTCTTTGCAAGTAGATCAATAGTCCCAGTTACATCCGTGCCCTCATGTTGACGATCTCCCTTATTTACGTCCAGCCCACATTGTTAATGAAAAAAAATGTTGGATGTGGTTAGAAAAACCACTAGGATGGTCTAAATTAAGTAGGTAAAAATAATTGGTCCAAAGTTTTTTTTAAAAAGTTAGATAAATAGTGATCGAAAGTAAAACTTATATAGATAATAAAAGGTGGTCCAATCTAGATACTACAGTCCATTTATGTTTTAAAACGGAAGAAATACTATTGGACGACAAGTCCACCACCACAGTCAACGTGCCCACTCCGGAGGCAAGGAAGCACGGTATATCTATACACAGTACGCTATCCTAGTTCAATAATCAAGTCTGTTATAGCTCCTGCTAGCTATATAGTATGTGACAACCACTCTACTGTAATGATGAACTAATGATCTAGCTCTAGTACTTTTTATATGTAAAGAACTAGAACCATAAGGCATGAGAACTTGTGGTTATCTGTTGATACATGAGCTAGAGCAGATACAATAGTAAGTTATAAGACAACTATAAACATATTTAAAAAGATAAAGAAAGAGAGAAGAGCAGTGAGCTACAGATCTGTAGCCAGCTACAGCACGGACTCCAAGACGTAATGTGTATATGACAGGTAGGACCAGATATTAATAGTATAGTAAGCAACTATTGTATGAATTGACTATTACATTGGCTATAGATGATTTGGAGCTAGTAGTGGGCTATACTATTAAACTTGCTCTTACCTATGCTCTCGATCGATAAGAGCAAGTCTAATAGTACAGCCCACTATTAGCTCCAATTCATCCATAGCCAATTCTAATAGCTAATTCATATAATAGTTGCTTACTATACTATTAATATATGGTCCCACCTGTCATACACATAGTGTGTCTTGGAGTCCGTGCTGCAGCTGGCTGTAGATCTATAGTCCGCTGCTCTTCTCTCTTATCGTTTATCATATTTTCATTAAAATATGTTTATAGCTGGCTAATAGTCTGCTATTGTACCTGCTCCAAACCAGTACGAGTAGTTTAATTATAGTGCTCCGCGCCGTGGCCCAGTTAATCAGAGGGTCGTAGCATATATAGCAGCGCAGTAAATGAACGATCGAGCCGTCGTCCACCGCCGACAACGTGGTCGCTCGCAAGGCCGTGAAGGGGACGGCGGCGAGGCCTCGCGCCACGGCGCCCAGCCACACATACCCCCGTGCGCCCACGTGCCCCCGTCTCCAACCGCAAGTCCACACTCCCCTCCCTAGCTAGCTCGCTCGCTCGCTAGCTACACGTACACCACGCCGCCCGTGCTACTTAGCTAGCCAGCCAGCCAGCCCGTCCTCCTCCTCCTCCTCCTCCTATATTACGGCGCCGTGCAGGCCGTCGTGGGCGTGGCGCAGCCTCTCCATACTGGAGTACTACTAGCCAACGACTGCGCGCTTGGACGCACGTACATAGGCACGCGTGCGCGAGGAGCTAGCCAGTGCATGCGTAGCCGGACACTACAGGGCGCACTTCGAACGCGCCGGCTGGGAGCTGATCGATCGAGTGAGCTGAGTGGCCAACGCAGCTAGCTAGCTAGGCACGTATACGCCGTCGTCCACTCGGGCCCGGCGCCGCGCGCGCGCGAGAGCGAGAACGAGGGTATAGATATCGAGAGGGATGGGGAGGGCGCCGTGCTGCGAGAAGGTTGGGCTGAAGCGCGGGAGGTGGACGACGGAGGAGGACGAGAAGCTCGCCGGCTACATTGCCAAGCACGGCGAGGGATCCTGGCGCTCGCTGCCCAAGAATGCAGGTGCGTGATCTACGCCCGCCCGCCACCGCCGGAAGTCCGGAACTAGCTAATTTCATCACACACATGATCTGCACTGCGTATCGATCTTTATTACAGTATATCGTCCTTTATTCATTCCCTGCTGCTGGTCATCACAAAGTCTGCGGTTGATTAAACAGCTTGCTAATTAAAGCCCTAAATCTAGCAAAAATAATAAAAAAAAGCGCACTCTTGCTTCCCAGCTATAGGAGAACTAGTACTATAGCCATAGCTACTAACAAGCTCCGACTGTCACTTGACGCGTTGGTTTGATTCATCGTGTCGTGCCGTCCGGACATATGCAGGGCTGTTGCGGTGCGGAAAGAGCTGCAGGCTGCGGTGGATCAACTACCTGAGAGCCGGCGTGAAGCGGGGGAACATCTCCAATCAGGAAGAGGACGTCATCATCAAGCTCCACGCTACCCTCGGGAACAGGTACACTGATCGATCCATCCCTCTCCTTCCTTTCCTTCTCTGCTTTTCTTTTCCCTTTGTTTCTCTCGATCCTCTCCGACCTGTTCTGCAGCGGCATGCCAATATCAGTGTGGAGTGCCTGAGAAGCGTCCGACCGAGATCAAGTAAAGGCGATGTACTATTCCTACACTGATCATAGTACACACGCACTATACTCCTACAGAAATCACTCCCACGTACTTTCAACGTAATTAAAAGAAATGGGTTCCACTGACAGCATAGGCTAGCTGTACGTTACACTAATAGTGCAAACTCAAGCGTACGACGGGCTACTATTTTAGTTGTCACGTACGTGTGCCCTCTAGAGACATGAGACCGCGCGGTAGCTAGTTTTAACAATAACTTCCAACGAAGACATCGCATTTGACAAGCCTATAAAAGCTTTGTCGTTAATTAACTATCCTTATTTTACTCCTATATGAGCACTTTAAGAGTTCTGTCTCCGTCAGTCCTTCGGTTGAGAGTTGAGACATTACTGTCACCACATATAGGCACATACAGTAACAGTATTCAGTAGTGTGCATGTGTTGGCTACTCTACTGAGCCCCTGTGTGCAGAGCAGTTGTATACAGTAGACACCAGTAGTAGTAGTAAAAGATACTGGAAAAATATACATACTCCAGCTGCATATGCACGCGTGCATGGTCCCGAATCCCTTTTAGGGCCTGTTTGGCACAACTCCAGCTCCAGCTCCACCCCTCCTGGAGCTGGAGCTCAGCCAAACAGTTTCAGCTTCACCAGAAATGGGAGTAGAGCTGGGTGGAGCTCTCTCACAAAATGAACTAGAGTTGTGGAGCTGGGTTTATGCAGCTTCATAACTACACTCCAGACCCAACTCCTGTAGTTAAATTTAGAAGTTGAAGCTGTACCAAACAGTTCTTAACTTCGAGGTAGTCTCAGCTATTTTTATACTGGTACCTGCAATGCATGCCTTGGCTTACGTGTTTATACGCCATGAAAGTGCACACAGTTTTTGCCGGTCAATTAATTAATCAATTTGGTCACTGTCACATGTGTCACCCAAGCGTGTGGCGGAAGAGCCCGGCGCGTCTACAGTTTATGCATGCAGTTAATTTCTACGAGCAGTAGCTAGGCAGGATAGCAACACGTCGAGTGTTACACACATTCCACGCTTAACCCTAAGTAGTGTGGTCGTCTTGTAGAGTTTACTAGTAATTAATTACGAGTTCTTTCGTAAAACGATATACAGTTGGTCCAAAAATATTTTCATGGCTTATTTATATTTGCACCAGTTTGATATACCCTAAGTATTATTTGTGTTGTAGTAGCCTCTTTAAATATTAGTAGTGAAAGCAAGATAATTAAGTTTTCACTATATGATTTTCAAATTAACTTCACTAATTTTTGAGAAAATATTATACCATGACACTTACAAGAAGCTTAAGGACCTGTCCTTTCTACAGTACTACTTCGTACGTCTATAGGTTGTGTTTAGTTCACACTGAAGTTTGAAAGTTTGGTTGAAATTGGTACGATGTGATAGAAAAATTCTGTGTATGAAAGATTTGATGTGATGGAAAGTTAGAAGTTTGAAAAAAAACTTTGAAACTAAATAGGGCCATAGTTATGTGACATGAGTTGTTCAAATAATGGTGTTTTCGCCAGCAAGTAGTAATAACTAAGTATATGTTAGAAAATGACCTATTTTATACATGTATCAATTTGCAACTTGCTATAAGAGTTCACTATTATTCGGGACCAACCCAATCGCAAGTGCATGTAGGACAAGTTAAATCCAAATCGACCTACCTTCTAAAGATTCTTAGCTAAATGGCTGTGCATCAGATCATACAACTATAGGATTGCATTATATATATGCCCCCACACAGACGCCAGTAGTAGTCTCCTCTATTCTCTACTCCCATAATATAATTCCCATGACCAGATTGTCCGCTTTATTTTTCTTCTATCAAAAGGAGATGAAGCACGAGGAAAATCCTTGGTTTGGATGCTTTCCCGTGATAAAAGATCGAAGTACTGCTATCCGTAGAAGTCGCGCGTACATCTAATAGTGAACTAGTGATAAGTTGTCCTTTCTTAATAACATATATACTACTTCCTCTGTTTCACAATATAAAACTTTCTAACATTGTCTATATTCATTTAGATATTAATGAATCTAAACATGTATATATGTATGTCTAAATTTATTAACATCTATATGTATGTGGATAATATTAGAAAGTCTTATATTGTGAATAGTAAACTAGCTACCGCCTTGATTTTGTCACGTCATTCGGAGCGAGCTAGTAGCTAGTTCCTGCAGGTAAGCTAGCTTATTGCTGTACAGTACTGAATAAAGAAAACAATACAGGAGTTTCTCATGACTTGACAAACGAACTATCCAATTTAATTGCAACAGTGAAATATGGTACGTGTAGTACTAACATACTTCCTCTATCCCATAAAAATTAAATCCTAGACTATGTCTAGATTAGATTTGTTTTTTTCAAGTGGGGAAGTACTTTATGTGTAACGGATTAACTGCTCATTAACAGTAGACGATTCCACACATGTCCGCAAGTTGATCTGAACAAGTCTGCCGCGAGCGTCGGTGCGGGGGGTGGAGGGATCCAACGTACGACAAATGCAATCGATAATCCAAACTCACATGTACTGTAGTACTACGTATCGTGACAAGTGTACGTTTCCCCCTCATGACGAGACACGCCCTAGCTAGCTAGCGAGCTAACCGGCCCTTTAATTTACTCCCTCCGTCAAAAAAAAAATTAAATCGTGGATTTCCGTGTCAATGTTTGACCGTCTGTCTTATTTGAAAAAATTATAAAAAAAATTAAAAAGATAAGTCACGCATAAAGTATTAATCATGTTTTATCATCTAACAACAATAAAAATACTAATTATGAAAAATTTTCATATAAGACGGACAGTCAAACGTTAGCACGGAAACCCACGGTTTGCCTTTTTTTTGGGACGGAGGTTGTATGTAGTAACTAGTACTTCCTCCGTTTTATAGTGTAAGACTTTATAGTATTGCTCACATTCATTTATATGTTAATGAATATAGACATATGTATGTGTTTAGATTTATTAATATTTATATGTATGTGGATAATACTAGAAAGTCTTACGTTGTGAAACGGATGGACTACGTGTGTTTGGGCGCACGTGACTACTGCTTCCAACAAAACACACACGTACGGTAAAGCCATGCATAAGAGTTTTGGTCTTTTGGACTATATATGTATATGGCCTGGGCCTTCCACGTCTCGTTGCGCACACACGGCCGGCCGTTTGTGGGACAAATATTGTTGTGCATGCGCGTGCTTCGCGTGGCTTACGACGAGCATGCGGCCGTTGCCTGCCGCTCGCGTACAGGAGCTGTACTATACTACTGTAAACATATGTAAAGTTTCTAATAGAATATATACCAACACGTACATGAGTAGTTGATCCGAGCATTTATTTGCTGCACATACTGTGCATGCGGTTGCTAGTATAATCAATTTTCCGTTTGTTTTTTGAGGGCCGGACTCGCGGCATGGGTGGGGAGTGTGCATGTTGTTGGCGTCTACCTCGGCCATGTCACGTTGTGGCTAAAACGAACGCAGAGATGCAATGCGTATGTGCCGTGCATGCGTACTTCCGCGGACAGGGCGTACGTACGTGTAGCATCAAAAAGCTAGCTATCGGAGCCATGGCTAAGATTAATTAGCCCCGGTTGATCTGTCAAGGGTACACATAAATGGCAGGAAAACGATCGCTGGGCCGTCAGGCTTAACTGCTGACACATGACCCGTCTCGGCAGCCATGTCACGCTACCCTCGCGAGGTTTTTGCACTTTGGACGCGCTTTTTTTTTTCCAAGTGTATATTTCTCCTTCCTCTTTAAAGGGGGCATGTCCCTCTCACGCAGATCATCATCGCGCTAATGGCGCCCCCTTTTTAATTGGCTAATCATGTACATCTGGCTCACCTGCCGCTGTCCGTGGGCCCCTCCAGGATTAATTGCGGGTCCCACGTAGACCTCATGACTTTTAACTTGACAAATCAGAAATGCAGATTTTGTTGGGAGAGCCGAGAGCGAACGAAACCGGCCAGCCCGTGAGGTCCCCCGGGCCGGCCTTTGCACCTGCCTGCCTGCGGGCCTCGCTTAATTTCTCTACTGAACTTTCCGTTGCTTTCCGCGCTCCGCAATCATACGAACCAGGTCGCCCCACGGCGTATCGCCCGTCCTGGTGTCCATGTACGGGTCGCTGCGCAGTTAAGCGGCGCGCCACTACCAACAGTATCCCCACACAAACTTTATTACGAAGAGCCTAGTAGCAATGGCATCGCCGTCACGTGTAGACGTGCAGTAAATGCGAATACTAGTGTTTCTACTCCTATTTGCTGTGATGAATGATCATGGATCGCGTGATACTTAGATCGAAACAGCTAACCGTGAAAAATCTGGTTTGTCTGCCTGCTTGCACAGGTGGTCCCTGATCGCGAGCCACCTCCCGGGGAGGACGGACAACGAGATCAAGAACTACTGGAACTCGCACCTGAGCAGGCAGATCCACACGTACCGGAGGACGTACACCGCCCCCAGCGAGGCCGCCGTGACCATCGACGTGACCAAGCTCCAGGCCGCCGGGAAGCGCCGCGGCGGCCGGACCGCCGGGCAGTCGCGGAAGGGCGACAAGAAGCGCGCGGAGGACGACCCGCCCAAGGAGACCGCCGCCGCCGACACGCCGTTGCCGGAGTCGAGCCCGCGGCGCGCGCAGAGCGACGAGGCGCGGAGCGGCAGCGTGGTGGTCGACCCGGAGGAGCCGAGCAGCCAGCCCAACAACGGCAGCAGCGGCGGCGGCGGCGGCACGCCGGACGGGCCGTGCAGCGAGGAGACAGCCACTGGGCCGACGTCGCTGGACCCGATGGAGATGGGCCTCTGGGAGGTTGAGAGCGAGTTCGCCGAGATGGAGGCCCTTCTGTGCGGCGGTGTGGCGCCCGACGGCCCCGGGATACCGGGGCTCGAGCCGCTGGACGTCGCGGCCCAGGCGGACGACCTGCTCGACATGGACTGGGACGGCTTCGCGGCCGACCTGTGGGGCGATCCGGCCCAGAGGGGCGGCCTTGTCCAAGACGCGGGCGAGCCAAACGGCTCGATGGGCTGCAGCTCGGACGAGCTCGAGTCGTTCGCGAGCTGGCTCCTCTCGGACTCCTGCTGAATTGAACCTAACCGTGACCAGCACAGCAGGGTTGGCGTCGTGGACTTGTACAAATTTTGCTAGCTTTTTAGTTCTAGTTTGTTTCGTAGTTGTGGGCTTTCCTCTCTCGGTCTCTCGTGCAATGGAGAGTCATTTGCCTCACACGGCATGTAGGCTGTAGTGAAAATCGGCACTTCGGCAGGTTTCACGCGCTGCTGCTGTGGAGTGTAGAGTGGAGGACACCTTTGAACTTGTTTGCACCGTTTTGTGAACTGAACTGAACTTTCGTGTTGGGCTGTTCTAGTTTGTCGCACTTGGTTCTGTGATATCTTTGTGTTTTGTGTTTGCTTGGTTAAGAGGTAGATGAAGTCATAGAACCGTGGAAATAACTTGTAATAAACCAATCATACAATCCAATTCACCTATCTACACTATCCTCACGCTGCAAGAGAAATAGAGAACAGAACACCTGTTGTGATACTATATAGTGGTGTGGTATTTACCCAATATATCAGAATCTACGACTCCATGTGATGTGACACAAGTGTAGGATCGAATCACAAAAACTAAGCCAATCAGAGGGGGGTGAATGGTTGGTATATCCAAAAACCGAAAACTTTTAGCGGAAATAAAAGTTACCCTCGAATTCGACGGATCGCGGTCTGACCGAAGTGTATGCGCCGGTCTGACCGCCTGATGAACGTCGGTCTGACCGATGTAGATCGATCGGTTTGACCGTCGAGATCAGCTGCCGCTCGCTGTCGTCACCGCCGGTTTGACCGCCGTCAGACCGCTTGCCGCCGGTCGGACTGCCGGTATATCGCCGGTTGGACCGCCGAAACTCGGTGAAACACAAATCGAAGAACTCTTAAAGTGGATGACAACTTTATTGATTCTCTCTGTGTTTACAAAGTGCACCAACAGCACTTCTTACAAAATTTCGACTAAACTCGAAACCCTAACTCAAAACTCAACTCAATTGCTCTGAAAAGCGATATCGGGAAGCCTCATGCTCCTCCTCTATTTATACTTGAGGTAGGCAGCCTAAAGCCACGAACCAAACTCATATTTATACTTGAGGTAGGCACACTACAAAAATTCACCTTGCTTCTACAAAAATCCAAAAATTTTCACATTACTTCTCCTCCTTTTGACAATGATTTCATCAAACATAGGAATTATGTTCATTAATATATAAGAGCTTAGCATACATATAGTATATCAGGTCATGTGTTGCAATAAAAAGAAGATAAACCCATGTATAATATAACAAGCATGCATTAAAGTATAACCATGAACCAAAGATTTTACAATTAAGCTTGAATCAACAATCAAAATTCATGATTTCATACGATTTATAAAGCAACATCTTAACAAGCATATAGGTTGAAAATAAACACTAAACACATATACCTATTGCATTTATCACTCTTTCTCAAATAAACTTTAGCACAAAATAACCAAGAAATTTTTTTATAACTTTTCTTTTTCTAGAGCCTTTTTGCTCATATTTTTCTCTTTTATTCCGGGTACGTCCCTGTCGTCAAGACTGTTTCCATGAATTCGGCACCCATTATTTTGCTCATATCGAATACGTCCTTGTCGTCAAGACTGTTTCCAAGGATTCGGTATTTATTTTCTTATATTTTTTATTCTCTTTTTCACAATGAGCAATTAAAGCTATTTGAGGAATAACAATTCAATAAAGCATATACATAGAGCATTTACAAATCAAACCACATGCTAGCATCAACATTGCATATTTGCTTAATTCAAGTATAGAATTTAAGTGTCATGCATCATCTCCCTTAAAAGCAAAATCTAAATATCATGAAAAGACTAGAATACATACAAACTATGCTAGAGACAAATAAACCTTCAAAGTATTGCTAGCATGCACAAGAAAATACCATATGCATAAACAAAGCTCTCTTTTATCAATTTTTCTCATTGTCATATTATTGCTCGATAAAACCATGAGGTACAAACTCCCCCTCAAACCATGCCAAAAGGATGAATTATGCCCAATTCACCACGAAGAAAAGCAAAGCGATTAGAATCCAAAGGTTTAGTGAAAATATCAGCAATTCGCAACTTTGTGTCCAAAAGCTGCAATTCAACATCTCCCTTCTCAACATGATCCCTTAAAAAGTGAAAACGAATATCAATGTGCTTTGTGCGTGAGTGTTGAACATGATTCTTAGCAATGTTAATAGCACTAGTATTATCACAAAAGAGAGGTACTTTCTCAAAAGTAAGACCATAATCTTTCAAAGTAGATAAAAGCCAAAGAATCTGTGAACAACAACTAGCAGCAGCAACATATTCAGATTCAGAAGTTGATTGAGCAACACTAGATTGTTTCCTAGACGACCATGCAATCAATGATGTACCAAGAAAATGACATGTTCCACTAGTACTTTTCATATCAATTCTACAACCTCCAAAATCAGCATTGGAATATCCACTTAAGCATACAGAAGATGAAGTAGAATACCAAATTCCAAACCCAAGTGTATGATTCAAATACCTTATTATTCGCTTGACCACTTGACGATGTGAAGCACAAGGAGAAGCTTGAAAACGTGCACACAAACACACAACAAATTGTATGTCTGGCCTAGAAGCAGTTAGATACAACAAAGATCCAATCATACTTCTATATTCCTTTTCATCAACAGCTTCACCATCTTCATCAGGATCCAACACAACTGTAGAACCAATTGGTGTTGAAATTGGCTTGCAATTCTCTATCTTGAACCCTCTCAAAAGATCCTTCGTATACTTCGTTTGATGCACAAAAGTACCTTGAGGTGTTTGCTTAATTTGCAATCCCAAAAAGTACGATAACTCACCCATCATGCTCATCTCAAATTCCTTGCGCATAGTCTCAGCAAAATCTACAACCAAAGCGTGAGTCGAACAACCAAAGATTATATCATCCACACAAATCTGAACAAAAAGTTGATTATCATCAAGCTTAAGAACAAAAAGCGTTTTGTCAACCTTTCCCATTGTAAAATCTTTTGCAACCAAAAAGTTCTTAAGCCTATCATACCAAGCCATAGGAGCTTGTTTCAAACCATACAAAGCTTTAGACAATTTAAAAACATGGTTGGAAAAATCAGGATTTTGAAAACCTGGTGGTTGTTTGACATAAACTTCCTCCTATATAAAACCATTTAGAAAAGCACTTTTCACATCCATTTGATACAATTTAAAACCTTTTGAAGCAGCAAAAGCCAACAAAAATCTAATTGCTTCAATTCTAGCAATATGAGCAAAAGTTTCATCAAAATCCAAACCCTCAACTTGAGTAAAACCTTGAGCAACAAGTCTAGCTTTATTTCTCACAATCAAACCATCCTCATTTTGTTTATTTTTGAAAACCCACTTGGTTCCAATAATATTATGTCTAGAAGGTGGTTCAACTAAAGTCCAAACTTTGTTTCTCTCAAAATTTTCAAGTTCTTCATGCATGGCGTTAATCCACGATTCATCAGTTAATGCATGTGACACATCTTTGGGTTCAAAAGAAGCAACAAATGCAGAATTTGCACAAACATCATGAGTCGTTACCTTAGACCTTGTAGTCCGCTCACCTATATTACCAATAATTTGTTCCGGCGGATGTCGTCGTTGAATGTGCAAAGGAGCAGCGACTTCTGAAGTTGATCCACGTTCTGTATCAGTACTGGTCGAAGTAGTAATCTCTGGAGGACCATCTCGAACAGCATCAACAGAACCCTCAGCCGACGACCCTGGCCGGTCTGACCGCACCTCCTGTGCCGGTCTGACCGGAGGTGTGCCGGCGGTCTGACCGGCCGAGCCGACCTCATCGCCGTCGTTGTTGTCGCTCTCGTCTTCAAAAATACAACCATCCTCCCCCTGAACCTGTGACAGTGTACCTGCAATATCGGGTCTAGTACCTGGACTAGCCTCATTAAAAGAAACTTCGTAAGTCTCCACAATTTTGTTAGTCTCCAAAATAAGTATACGATAACCACGAGTGTGTGCGGGGCAACCAAGAACCAATCCATCGGTAGAATGTGCCTCAAACTTATCCAAATTTCCAGATTTCAAGACAAAGCACTTGCAACCAAAAACACGAAATGTGAAACTTTGGGTTGATGTCCAAATCGAAGTTCATAAGAAGTTTTACCAAGTTTTGACCTTAAGAAAACCCGATTTGAAATATAACATGCAGTGTTAATCGCCTTAGCCCAAAATTTTCTAGGAGTTTTATATTCATCCAACATCGTTCTAGCCATCTCAACCAAAACACGATTTTTTCTTTCAACAACACCGTTTTGTTGAGAACACGAGGAGAAAAAAATTCATGTTCAAGACCTCTTTCGTTGCAAAATTGTTCAAATGAAGCATTTTTAAACTCTCCACCATTATCACTTTGAATTCTTTTCAAAAAGCCAGAAAATTCAAGCTCCAATCGAAGAAACAAACCACGAAAGTGTTGAAAAATTTCGTCCTTAGTTGCCATAAAGAAAACCCAAGAATATCGAGAAAAATCATCAACAATAACCAACACATACCACTTTCCTCCAACAGATTGCACTCTAGCTGGACCAACAGTGTCCATATGTAATAGTTGTCCCGGTGCATCCGTCATCACAGAAACAATAGGAGCATGTGAAGAAGCAGCCATCTTAGCATGACGACACGATGTACAAACCAAATCAAGATCTTTCTTAAGTTTAGGCAAACCACGAACAAGATCCAAACCACTTAACCTAGTGAAATAATCAAAACCAACATGTCCAAGTCTACGATGCCAAAACATCACATCTTTATCAAACTTAGCAACCAAACATGTTATCACAGGTGAAACAGGATTTTTAAAATCAGCTTTAAACATTCTTTCATAGCGAGAAATATTCAACACAGAATCACCACAAGAATCAAAAACTTTACTTCCAGTTTTCTTAAAGTGAACCTCAAAATTTTCATCAACAATTTGTGAAACCGAAAGCAAATTGTACTTTAAGTCCTCAACCAAAGCTACATTCTTCAATTCAAAATTTTTATTTATCTTAACCAAACCTGTAGCGAGAACGACACTTGTAGAAGCATCACCGAAGATAATAGATTCAGTCTTAGATGCCTTCTTGAGGGAGGAGAACCAATTTTTATCACCGGTCATGTGCC